GAATGGTTGAAGAAACTTTTATTCAATGCAGTATTTTCTTATACTTTTTAGATACAAAGTGTTTCTCTTGGTCTGTGTTTTATTGAGAACTAGATACAATTTGAACAAACAAATTTCTTGATCTTTGCCTTTGAGCCGACACAACTCTATGTCTGTATCATCTCTCAGATTGAATTTTCCTCGCAAACCGAGCAAAACCAATCTTCAGGTTCGATTTCAATGATGTTGTCACTCTTGGCAGAAGTTCCAGCTTGCTTTAGGATTACTAGATTTGGATCTGTTTTTGAAACTACAGCCTTCTTTTGTTTTTTTCTTATCGGTGTCTCGGTCACTTTCATCTCTTCAGATAAAGGCCGTATTTTCATCTGAAGCTCTTTGACCTTCTCTTTAGCCAATTTCAGCTCGTGACCTACTTCAATTTCATTTTTGCAGGGGCTACTGGTTAATATAACTGTTTTTTATACTTTTGAATTAGATCTGAGTTTAGATCTATTTCTCTTTTTGGGTGGTTTTGGAAGTGGAGACATTTCTTCGATCGTAACATTCAGTTTTGAAGTTAAACTTGTTGGCCTCTTAGGTGAGGTTACTTCAATATCAAGAGTTTGATTTTCACCCAAGCAAGTTTTCTCTTGATCTTAACATTCACTGTCTTCTCGATTCTGATCTAAAGTTGTGTTGAGATATTCTGCTGGCAAAAAGTCTGAGAGGCAGAGCGGAACTCATGAATTGTCTAATACTTGCATAAAGTTGTTTGAGTGTATTATATGAACCTCGGCAAAGTTGATTGACATGTTTTGTGAACCTCAATTCATTGTCTAGCCAGAGTCTGAGGTTTTTTGTTTCATTTATTATGGGAATTTTACCCCATCCAAAACAATGTCGATTGAGGTAATGGCGGTCCGAAAATCAGTGCAATGGACTTACTCGCGTTCAACTTCAGATTATGTGCTGCAGATACATTTAAATCCAGATCCGAATTTAAAGCAGCGGTAACATCAGGTTTCACTTCACTGAAAGATAAGTACAGCTGTAAGTACAGCTGTAAGTACAGCTGTAAGTCAGCGTAGTGGTGTATACGGTGAAGAACGAATGAAAATCTGAGATGTACAAAAAGAATAGCAGTGGGCCCAATATTGATCCTTGCGGAACGTCACGGCTCAAAGCAAAGGTCTCTGAGGATTCAAGGTCATGAACCACTCTCTGCGTTCTTCCTCTTAGATAACATTCCAGTAGTTTCACTGAATCAGAGTGGAATCCGAAGAATTTACTAATGAAAACCTCATGATCCATAGTATCAAATGACTTGCTGTAATCCAGCAGGATCAGATAAGTAACGTTTCCTTCATCAATTGTCCTGAAAATATCATCAACAATATTTGTTAGAGCTGTGGTGGTGCCAAATCCTCCCCTGAAGCTAGACTGAATCAGTGGAATAATGTTATGTTTTATTACGTATTCATTGATTTGATTGTATACAATTTTTTCAAATGCTTTAGCTAGAACTGGAAAAGACTGATTGGTCTTAAATGGTTGACATTGGTAGGATTCACTCTTAGATAACATTCCAGTAGTTTCACTGAATCAGAGTGGAATCCGAAGAATTTACTAATGAAAACCTCATGATCCATAGTATCAAATGACTTGATGTAATCCAGCAGGATCAGATAAGTAACGTTTCCTTCATCAATTGTCCTGAAAATATCATCAACAATATTTGTCAGAGCTGTGGTGGTGCTAAATCCTCCCCTGAAGCTAGACTGAATCAGTGGTATAATGTTATGTTTCATTACGTATTCATTGATTTGATTGTATAAAATGTTTTCAAATGCTTTAGCTAGAACTGGCGAAGACTGATTGGTCTTAAATGGTTGACATTGGTAGGATTCGTTATTTAATATCACTTTGAAGACATCTGTAAGAACTTGTTTGATTGATGACCTATTCTTTTTGTAAACATTCATATTGAATATAGAATAAAAAAAATAACTTTTGTCTCATTTCTGCTAAGTTTATTATTTGTTACGACCGGTTTTGGTTTATTAGGTCATTTTCAAGTGTAGGTCCTTGAAACAAACCTTCAAATGGTATTACAGTCGGAAAAAACAAAACGGGAGAAAAAATACGCTTGGGACGTCGAAACGCATTCCGACATCTACCTCGATAGCCATATCAAAACGAAACTTTGTACTATTCTAGGTAATTAGCTTATAAAGCAAACAGTAACTGAAGGAAAAACCTCATTTTTTCACACGTTAGAGACCACCTAATCACCTGTATTGCGCAGTGATTAAGTACTTCAATCTATACGCAAAAAGTTTCAATTAAACAACCATACAAAATTAATAAAACCGCTAATGAGCCTCCAGTGTTCAGTTTATGTTGAGAAGCTAATTAGTACCTGTTAATTAATAACTTAATCATTTGAATTGATCAAACCACTTCTGCAGACTAATGGCATACAAGTTTTGTGCAGACGGTTTTCCGTGATTTATTCTGCTGATAATTATCATATTCCATATTCCGCTAGAAAAGCCATTTTTTCGACACGGTTCAAGACAGGACGCTTTAATCAAGACTGAATATATTAATCAATGCAAATAATATGGCAATGTAAACGTTGCGGAAAACTAATGTTGACAAGTTTAATAAGTCTTGTGATTATTTTATTCGGCTGAGATTCGAAACAGCTACTGCAAAATATACAGAGTGTTCGTTCAAAAATGTTTCGGTAGAATATTTATTATAAGTGAGTGTTCAGTTACACTATAAATATTTCTTGGGATGTTAACTTAACCTGTAAATTTGTATACTTATTGGTAAAATTGGTGTCTTCATCCATGAAGGTTATCTATTATTGTGTTGTTTCAAAAGTCTTGTCCGTTTTAATGTCATTTGTTTTTATAGCTCCATATCTCAATGAATATGTATTCTACTTTGTTGTGGTAGGTAAATGATATCTACCTTGTAACTTTGACATCTTGAAATGAAATTTTATGAAACAGACAATTTCCATTCATTTCAGTTCCAATAAGAAAATTGTAAGAAGTACGTAAGACTGAAAAATAAAAATATGGACATTTCAAATCAACATTTCAAAAAAGCTTTACAATTTATTAATTGCGAAAACAACTAAGTGTCTAGTTCAAAACTTTTCAATAAACAAATTGTAAACAATGTATACTATTAAATGACCTGAAAATCGAACAAATTTTCAAAGATTCTCGTTTGTTCAGCTTCCTATAATGATAATAATATAGGTAACACAAGAGTCTATATTTTGAATTGAAGGGGTTATATTTTTAGGAGTGATTAATTTTTGGGAAAGAAAGTTTTTGGCTTTCTACTACCCCATCTTGATATTTTGTAATGCTTGAAAATATCTCTGCCGAGATTCGGAGAATCTTTTTTTGTTCGACAAAAACACTTATCGCTGATGAAGAACCGCCCCATAGACAAATGCCGAACCTAATTCGTGATTCTACATGGCCATGGTAATAATTCAAAATTTGCTCACTAGTTACAATCATTTTGAGATTTCTCATCGAATATGTAATTGATGATAATTTGTCCTTTCCAGTTCAAGTAGTGGTCTAATGTAAGCCCTGAAAATGTACATTCTCTGACATTAGAGCGTACGTTGTTGTTGGCATTTATTTCAATGTCAGAACAAGTTTTTTGCCGATGATGAAATCGAATAGAAAATGTTTTTCTAGAATTGAAATACAGAGAATCAGAATTACACCACGGGACTAAATTATTTAGTGTCTGGTTAGACTCCTCCTCCAGGCATATCGCATTTATTAGATACCAATGAAGTATCATGCGCATACATAATGTATGTATTATCAGCGACTGCGGTATCCATTTCATTACAATATAATATAAATAATATCGGTGCTAAAATAGACCCTTGAGGAACCCCAATTTTCATAACTGAGTTCTGGATTTGAATACCTATACACTGATGATCGCGGTAACTAAAACAAATTGTCTTCTGTTTTCAGTAAAAGGCATGAACCAATTGAAGGCATGAACCCTAATGCTTGCTATACGAATACAATTTATTTAACAAGATCATGTGATCGACAGTGTCAAATACCCTGCTGGGATCACAGTATATCCCAACAGGGAATTCACCGTATTTGATGTTTTGCATGGAATTTTATGACTGTCATCAAAGTTCATTTCTCTTTATAAATATGCTTACTCTATACTAGAGGCCCAGTGACAGGCCTGAAATTTTCTAAAAAATGAGCTTCAGACTTCTTATGAGTGCAAGTTGTCACCCAAATTAGGGTTAAAACACAACCTTCAACTATTCTGTCTTTCCTTTTCACCAATAGAAAAAAGGATGTCATACAAAAGTTGGTTGTTTCATCGCGTATTTTGTTGATGTCTTCACTCGTCCTTACTGTGGAATCAAGCGATTTACGTAATAGAATCTATCTGTTACTTTGAGAAGGTAATCTGTTTTTGGTACCTGAATTATATACGTGTAACAGAAGTACCTACCCGCGAAATATATCGATTACATAGGTCGAGTTGAGCCTTATTAGGAATCCTCAACAAATACAAACACAAAACGTTCCCTGTATCAGACGGAACTACGGTTGATCCTCACAAATTACCCACTCGAAGCAGTGCTAAACAACGACAGGTTATCTGAATCACATGGAATCATTACTATCAACTTGTTGAAACAAGACATCACTCCTAAAATACTCCAAGGAATAAACAACATAACCTCTGATGAAACGTTGGCTATGGTATAATTGGCACATACTGCATCTTTCTCTGTTTACCTCCACTTGTCATAAATATAGGAAGAATCATGTCAAAAACCCGCATAACCTCCGTTTGAACTGAGCTGATTCGCTACCTCGAGAGACCCCACCCACTGCACACGCCCCACGACTGTTTGGCCCCGCCTTCTGGAACTGTCTGCGGATCAGATAGTTGTGGGGTTTCGTGCTGTGTAGATCGATGGAACGAGCCTATTTGGTATTGCTTGCTAAATTGCCATGGCTAGAAATTTATGACAAATGCTAATGTGAGAAACGATGTATTAGTGGCTGCGTTTTGTGACTGATCTTTCGCGATGATGTGATCTATCGGAAATGGCGATGTTGGCGGGGAATTTTGTGACACAACCGCTCCATTTTTCCAGACAAACCATGGAAAGTACCGATGGTTCGATATCCATGGACTCCAGTGACAATTTCGACAGAGAATCGATAAACATTGACAATACAAGTTGTTGTAGTGATGATACCGTCCTATCCGTCGGCAACGAGACTCCGGTGTCAGCATGTAAAAGTGAGATTTTGTCGTTTAAAAATATCGAAAATCACTTGAACGCAATATCGCACATAACGAACAGTACTCTGAAATCGCGTCACTCTGACAGAGAGTCTTCTAGTCCTGTAAATAGTTTGTTAAGCCCCTCTAGTACAAAATCGTCCTCGTCGAGTTTCTGTTTCCGTACGGAAAGTGTGAAAAATAGTCCTGCGATAAGTAATTTTCTGAATCAGAACAACCACAAAGACACTTCCGAAGATGACGCCAATAACGTGAGGTTGAAGTTTTCCATAGACAATATTTTGAAAGCCGATTTCGGCAGGCGTATTACTGATCCTATAAATATCAGAAAGTCGCTGCCTAAAAGGGTGATTCCTGAAGGCGTAGAGGATGCTGGCAAAAGTTCAGGGCCTGTGGACCTCAGCAAGGGTGAAGATAAAGAGAAGAAGGAAGAAAAACAGCCGATATTGTGGCCTGCGTGGGTTTATTGCACTCGTTACAGCGATCGACCTAGTTCAGGTATTTATTCATTTCCTATGATGTACATATGACTACTATTGAGCTTTTGAGTAGGTATCTAATGTCCACGGCCTTTTATTATCTGAGTAGATGGCAACACACTGTTTTCGGATGTGTTACGTAAATAATTTTTTCGGCAACCGTATAAAATAAATCAATAAGACGGACTTCTTTTTTACAATTCTTTGTAGGACAAAATTTCGCTCATTTCGATTTTCACAGAAATCAAAACTGAATATGTATACAGAGTTTTTATTGAATATTGAAATTCGAACAGAAGATAGGTTCATAGGTATCAACCGAAACATTCTAATTCTTATTTATATTAACATTTACATGAAAATTCGAGCAATTGCTAGATTTGGAAGGGATTCAATTTGTGTGAAATGCTTTTTGTACAACGGTCATTAAAAGTTACATTTTTAGAGGTTGTCAAGATGATGTTTACAAAGTAACGTGTCAAAAATATTTTAAACACGATTTTTTTCGATCAAGTAACAATAAACCAAACATAATTATTCAATTTTCAGGGAGGTTTTATTATGAACAATAGATATAGATACAATTAAATTATGTTACAAATGTATTATATACATTAATTACATTATTATTATTATTTATGAACATTAATATGAAAAATACAATTAGAACAACTGCCGATATTAATTGTTATTATTAATAATGCCTCTGATATTAATATACCTTGCGAAGTTGAAAAGCCTTGTAATATATTTGAACTAGCTGAGTTAACAATTTCATGGGCATTAACATTCAATTCTTGAAGTGAATACGACGATGCTATAACGCTGGAGCTAGCTGTTGGGATTATTCTTCCAGCAATAGCCTTTTTATAAGAAATAGATTGATCGATGTAACCCTCAGCTACAGTTGTAGACTTCCATACTCCGTGCTTTTAAATATTCGTTATATTTGCTCCTGATTATGCTATCAAAGAAGCAGAAGACCTTCTGAAACAGTGACCTGTATATTCCTTTGGTTCCGGGAGGTTCAGAAACTCAGCAATGGGAGAGAGCATTTTCCCAAACATGTTTATACCAACTGGGTTGGCACTGCATTTATAATTTGAGCATTTCAGAAAAAAACGTTGATGATTGATAACATAGAAGGGCGTAATGCAACGTATTTATTAAAATAGTCAATGGTTTTTCCAACAATGCAAAAAGAACGACCTATTTCGTTTTTGTATTTGGAATCTGAACTATCAATGATTTATTCATTAATTTAAAGTCTGAATCGTGGTTATTCTTTAAAAGTTTGAGCTTCTTTTATGTTCAAAGATTCTCGTTCTGATATTTCTTGAAGTTCTTCCTATATAAACTTTTGAGGCCGATTCACATGTTAGTTTCTAGGTATCGTCAATAAGTTCTACAAAATATTCAAGTCACACTAATTCTCACTAAACAGCTGATTGAGTAATGATTGCGAGAATAATTGACAAAAAATTTGTGATGTTTTCTTTTTCGAAAATAACGTATTTTGTATTTTTAACGAAACAACTGCAAAAATGGAAAATTTTTCAGAAACACATACGTCATAGGTACTTATTTAATATAACTTACAAGGTCTAAGAATTTTCTAATATTTTTTAAAATATTTTTCAATATTTCTGCAAATCCATCAAAAATTTCGATATACAGATGTCTCAAAAATCAAAAAATGTATCAAAAAAAGTTATTCATAGGTACCCTACACCTACTTTTTTTGTAAAACTCCTTTTGTGCGTTGTACAATAAGGTTTCGTTAGGTATACATTGAAGAAGTTTTTGTTTGATGATGGGAAGTAGAAACTCGAAAAGCTTGTTTTCTGAAAAAACTAGTAACACTTATTTTTGTTTTGAACATCAATATATCAATGCCCAGTGAAGTTTTATAGGTTTGAATGATTTAGTTGTTGGTTCTAGGATCGGGAATTCATATCTACTTCATTGATATTGATGTCCCTCTTCTGTTTTTTACCTATTACTTTTTTTTCGCTGCTTCGAATTACGATATTCATTTTATTTCTCTCAATTAATAAGTTTCATATTTAACAGTAAAATGTCTAAGTAGGCAATGAAGAGACCTTTTTTTTTATGAACTTAGGGGTTGTAATCCACGGTTTAGAAATTGAATTTTTACACAGTACAGGGTGTAATTCCAAGACTTTTCCAGTGTATATTTTCAGCTGCTTTTTCAAATCCACATAATGAAATGATATTTAGAGGTTCGCGACTTCTTTCTTCTGCTGATGCGCTTGAGGGGTTCACCGTTTCGAATTAGGTACATTATTCAAAACAATTTGTTACGCCCGCTTGTATCAGACATTTTTTGATAATTTTGTCAGTATTCATATTTGTCAAAACCCAGAAACAACTACATAATGGCACGTCAAAATATGTTCCATGGCATGGTAAGATTAAGCGGAACTAATTATTTTGTGAGGCCTGTTCTTAGATAAGGTTCAATAATGATTTTTAGTTGTTTCAAAACATTCACGTCAAAATAGTTCGTGTAATATAGGTATAGGTAATATTTTGCTAAAATATGCAAATTAATTTTTCAAAGGGAATATGTGTTTTTTGCGAAAAATGAAAAAAATAGTGGACCTGTTTCGCATTTCCTTGAAGAACTTCGAAGTGGAAGTTAATTCCATATAAAAATACAGAGGATGAAAATGCGTACCTATATATGGTTCAAGTAAACGATATAGTGCACCCTACCTTCCAGCAGTTCCCCTTTTATAAAATAGCTAACTAATTTTGTTATTCAATAATCATTTCTGATTATACAGTGTGTCAATTTGAAAACTTCCCACCCTCAATATCTCCCTTCCAGTACATAATATGAAAAAATGGTCGTCAGACAGGTCAACTTTATTTGCAAGGGGGACACTCTGAATGAATATTTTCAACCCTCGGGGTTCAACCCCCTAGGAGGGGTGGATGTTACCCTCAGAATTTCAAATGGAAAGGGGGGTCAAGTGGCACATCATTTTGAAGGGCATTCAATTCTCTTGCCAATGATACCTTTTTCATTAGTTTTTGATGAGCAGTTTTTGAACAATAACGTTCCAAACGAACGNGGAACCCATCCTTTACTTCCTCCGCAATGCACAATGATTAGTCGCGATCCTTTGTTTGCAGGCATGTTAGGCGTACACATTCTCGAACCATCAGTCCACCCTTACGTAACTGTGTCGTGAGTGTCATACCAAGTTTCGTCTAAATAGAAAATTTGCCATTGTTCTTGTCTATATTCAGTTATTTGTTCTAAATATTTGTAACGCAATTCCATTATTCTTCTGCCATAACTGCTTGACGTTTGTTTATTATTTTAAATCTAAATCCTAGTTTGTTTATCCAATTCTGAAGAATTTTGTCACAGCAGCTCATGTTATGGCCGGAAGTATTCAATTTCTTCCCTATGTGATATACAAGAAATGTATCTTCAATCTTGTTTGCTGGCTTACAAAATCCAAAGATAGTTGAAATTGAAAACTTAAATCCTTATACTATTGTTAGTATAATTATTATGACTTCTCGATACATGAACTCCCAAAAATGAGGCCAAATAAGATAAATGGAAGTAAATAATGTTTGAATAAAGAAAAACCCATTTATACATTCGAATTTTCTATCAATATTTCATTAAAGATTTACAACTGTAGTTCACACATGTTATAAAAACATGGTTATATTTACTCTCTCATTCGTGCGTCCCTACTAAAATCCCACGATAATCGCATCAGGGAGTTTACACCCTCATGGTTCTCTTTATATTTCCCGAACTCCCTCAGGGACTGTTAAATGTTTTCCCACAGCTTGGTTGGTAGATGGGCGGATTCTGATATTTTGCGAATTTGGATCAAATCGTTTTGTACATTTATACTCGTGGTATAATAGCAACCCGCCCCTTCTCAGGGGTAGAAGAACTGATATGCCATAGTTCCAGATCAGCTTGATCAGCAGAGTTCCAGATCTAATAATGATGAACTGATGAATTAACTCGGAAAACAGAATATGTTCACAACTATCGAATGTAATTTTGAAAAATTTATATGTTAAAACAAAATAAAAGAAAAATTCGATCTCAACCTTCAAATTGATTCAATATGTGGAACATCGCAACACAACACAATCGCAACCTTTTTTCATCCGCGAGTCAAAATGGTGTGTCAGGCTTCTTGAATTGATTTCAACGCGCGATAGTTTTAATGTGGCAATCGCCTCCAGCGTTGTTGAGGAGGTGTATCATTTTTACTTGGAAAAGGTGTAGGAATTAGGTTTTTTCATGACAAGTACCAAAAGTTTACTGTCAAAAAAGGGAAATTTGAAATAAATAATGACAGCGTACCTAGCGACCTCTATATGGTACATGAAAATTGATACGAAATTATGATTTTCCACGTCAAAAAACCCCGGGTAACATTTCGTGCAATAACTTATTTTTTGCAGAAGTTGTTTCAAACGAACAAAAAAAATCAATTTCAACACCCTGTATCTCCGAAACGAAACATTTCTGGACACAATTTTACATTTACGTAGATACTTATTTTATAACCTGTATATTTATATATTGCTAGTTTTCAAACAGCCAGCCTGTCTATAGTAAGTAATAAAGACAAATAAATTACTTGAAAATTCCTTTCTCTACATGAGAATTCTTGAATTACTTATTTGGGTAAGTAAGTGTAATCCACCTACCCCAGGATTAAAAACGTTTTGCACGTTTATGAATAGGTATATAAGATATATAAATTTGTAACAAGATGTATCATGTTTTTGAATATGTATGGTTAAGGTAGGTTGAGGTACTTTTAGTTTTTTAACTAACGAATGAATGGAATTGTCGTGAGTTGACAGTGGTCCCGGAGATTATTTCTATGGTACTATTCGGGTGGTCTAACCCTGAATTCCCATTAGCTTTTTTGTTGAGGGTTCGTATTTTGTTCTCGATAAATTCTTTATTTGCATTTCTCAGCAAATGCTTCATTTATAAGATAGAGAAAATACCTTTTGTCTCATTTCCTAATTTTCTCAAGTTAACTGACGTAGTTTGACAAACAAGTCCTTGAATATACAATATGTCAATAGGTCATTCGAGTGCTTTCACCTATTCCCTTTTCCCTCTCTCCGCATCAGCGGTTTTAGCGGGAGCTGACCATTTGGCGGGAGTTGGCCATGTTCCACTTGATTATATGTTTCCATATGTTGCGTATCTCTACGCTAGCTTGGCTAAATGCGTTGTTGGACAACACATATGCGGCTTCTTTGAATTTTCTCCTAAATCAGTATTCCTCCTCTGGACAATTTCAGGTTGAGACCACTTGATGTTATGTTGATGAGTCCAAACATGCTGTGCTATTCCTGATTTGTTGGTTTCTTCTCGCTGTACGTGTTTCTTGTTCTCGTCAATGCGAATTTTCAATGGCCTCTTAGTTTCACCGATGTATGATTCTCCGTACTCGCAGGGTATCCGGTTAATGCAATTCTTGAAATCGCTGTCCGCGTTTGGTAGCCTGGTTTTCGTGAGGCTGCTACAAATAGTGTTCCCAGATCTGAAGGAGGTTCTGAGATTATACTTGGACTCAATTCTTATCCTTTTTGACAATCCTCTGATGTAGGGAAGTACAAGTATTAGTTAATTTGAAGGTGGTTGATGATGGTGGTTAAATTGCACAGGTACTAGTTATGGCGGCTCCTCTTCCTTGTGAGGCTTTTGCTGTCTTCTAGCCAAAGTCTGTTCCACCATCACTTTGGAGTAACAATTCCGTTGAAGGTAATTTTTGATGATGCCTAGTTCCTTCTCGAGACCTTCTGCTCGAAAGCACGGACTACTGGAGTCTTGATGATTCCTCTCTTAGTCGATTGATGGTGGTTGAATTCCTGGTTCCGATACTGCCCGTGTGAGTGGGTTTTCGGTAAACAGATGTTTCCCATTTAGTGTCGGTCCTCTTCACCAACACTTTTAAGAATGGCAATTCGTTGTGGACTTCCGTCTCCATTGTGAAAGTGATGGAAGGACTTACGTTATTGATGTGCTTCAGGAAGGTGTCTAGTTCTGTATTCCTATGGTTCCATATTATGAAGGTGTCGTCAAGGTATCTCAACCAGACCCGGGGCTTCTTGTGGGCCTCTGCAATAGCCAGAGTTTCAAACCACTGCATATATATGTTGTCTATAACCGGTGAAAGTGGCGATCCCATTGGTAGTCCCTCATCTTGCGTAAAGAGGTCGTCCTAAAGTTTCGTACACAGCATCTTAGTAATTCCATGATTACTTGTATAGATAAGTTTGTTCTTTCTTTCAGGTCCCCATCTTCAGATAGCTTCTCTGTATGATTTGAAGTGCTTCTTCAACAGGGAAGTTGATGTAGAGGCTTTTCACGTCGAAACTGATTAGTTGATCCTGCTTTGTGACTTCGATTGCCCCTAGTAGTCCGACAAAATGCCTTGAATTATTCACAGAATATGATGTTTTTCCTTGCAGTGGTTTTATTATTGGTAGTAAAATTTGGACAAGTTTTGATTAGCTGAATCTCTGGAGCTAATGATCGGTCTTAGCGGAGCACCCTTCTTGTGGATTTTGGGTAGTCCATACAAGTGAGGGGCTTACTGTGGTGCGGTGTTAGCGATGAAGTAACTTGACTTGGAATCTATTGATTTTTAATTTTCGTTTCTTGTTAATAGTTCAATTTTTAATTGTTGCTTGTATTTTATTTAATTGCAATTTCAGTGTTTTTGCTTAATATAATTGTTAGTTTTTTAGCTAATCATTTAGTTTTTAGAGCTCGAGTAATAAGGTAATATTATAGAAATTTAGTTTCCTATCTGTTTCCTAAATAGAGATATGAAACACAGCGCCACTGTTGCAGGACCCTGTATATGCCCGATTTTTTCCACTTATTCCTTTTGGGTTTTGCGTTGAATAACATGTTTTCTAAATTATTATTATCAGTAAATGACGTAATTATGTTAAATTTTGAAAAACAGTTTTTTATGTTTTTGGAGAGCTTTCCCAAATATGTTAACTTGTTAGCATATTTCTTAGCTTCTTTAGGTTCTTCATGATTTAGATATAGTTTAGTCATGATCATGCTCAAGAATACTTCTCTGCGTTAATGGAATGAAATGAGTCAATGCACTAGATATATCTTTCATTGATTTATTATTTCTAAGAGTATCTAAGACCAGTAGCATGACGTTTTTAACAAGGCCCAGCTTCTTTCGACAATTACAAAAAATCATATGTCAAATAATGAATATTAATGACACAGTTACATTCGCCAGAGTTCAATTGCTCTCAATTGCTTTCGACTATTCAATCAAATTACTTGATTTTTAACGATGACAATTAGTTCACTCAATACAAAGTTGCTTTGATATGATATAATTGACCCGAATCAATTGTGATGAAAATAGTATTTATTGAAAAACATCAATGAAGAACAGTTTGGCTTTCAAAGTGGTAAAGGCACTAATGATGCAATTTTCTCACTCATGGAAAAAGTTTATACTGGAATCAATAGTGGCGAGGTTGCTGCTGCAGTATTTTGCGATTTCTCGAAGGCTTTCGACTGTGTGGATCACGAAATACTGCTGAGGAAGCTTCCTTATTACGGTTTCAGAGGAGTGATACTGAGCTGGTTCAGCTCATATTTGTCAGGTCGTAGCCAGATGGTGGAAACAAACCACCGCTCAGAAATTGGAAAAATACATAAGGGTGT